GTAGTTTCACATTGTCGAAACCAGGTTTCGCCATTCGTGGTAGGTGACAAATACCAGCGAAATGCTGAAACACGACGAAATACGTCCTATTCTGATGAGATTACTGAATTACTTTTAACCCGACATGAGCATAGGAAATCTACATGGTGTTGAGGCGCTACTTGAACAATTTCGACACTACTCGCAGCTTTATAGCGAGCCTCATTTACAACTAAAGCGAATCGAAGAGCTCGTACCTGGTGTTGTGAGGACTACTTCCTGACTGAGTCTGGTTGTATCGGTATTCGCGGTACGCAATGTGTTTCCACATCTTGATAAACTAACATCTGGGGGTGAAGATGATGAAGAATCCATACTGCGTCAGAATCTTGTTTGTAACCAGGTGGATTGCCATTGTGAGATGATGTTACTCCTGAACGAGAAGAAAGGCCGCTAAGCTGGTATCGAGATTAGCATTGACGAGGTTGAAACGTGAAGTTTCACGAATGTACCAAGTGTGCTTGGTCACGCACAATTTACGCTGTAGATACTTGACCGGTTACCCACTGTTTACCTGTTGGCGTATATTCGTGGTAGAGTACGAACTCGTGTGTCTTATCCAGTGATAAAGAAGAAGTTTGTTTGGAGAGGATACACCTTTCATCACAGAACATTCTTGCTGGTTCACTTACCGTAGACTCGGATGACGTGTATACTCCCTCGAAATGTTTCAGTAAAATCAATATCGTAGTGTACGCTTAGACAGGTGAGTAGACGTGAAAAACTAAAACTCGAAACGGGAGCAAACAAAAAATACGCATGCACAAGCATCGTTGGAGGTGTCGTACATCTTTACTTTAAGTCTCTGGTTGTTGTACTATGAGCCGATATCAGAAACCTTCAAGATACGAATGGACTTTACGTTGCTCAACCTGAAGTATGAATTGCCATTTCCAAGTAAATGAGGCAGCTGGACTCCACTAGGATCCGCGTTTAGTCCAGCAGAAGCGATGTGATCTTCCGCAGCCAGGCAG